CTCGTATTCTGAGTTAGCGGACGCCATCTCTCGAAGTGAGCTCTGCAACTTTCGTTTATCTGCTGTGGCTTCCTCAACATTCTTCCGTGTACATCCTTGATCTTGTAGAAGTGTTCGATGTCTTTTGTAGCGTTTGATCTTCTACTGGCAATCCGACAAACTTCTTGTTCGCCTTTGCGAGTGTGCAGCTTCCTGTACAGCTCGGCTACGTATGCTTGTTTTGCTTCTTTGACACTTCTCTTGGCTTCTCGTTTCGCTTCCAGGTAGCTCTGGTGAGCATCTTCCGATCTTGTCTTCAGTCATGTACTGTGTGCCGACTTCTTGTTCTTTACCACAATCTGCAGTTTGTCATTCTGCCACGATGTTTCTTCCTTGAGGTTCCGTCTTCCGGGCTTCGTGCGGCCTAGCAGCTCGCCAGCTATCTGATGGATGTTGTCCTTCAGAAGCATCTAAGAGTAGTTTGGATCACTTTGCAATAACGGCAGGGCAGATTCCATTGACGTTCTGTTCGGGCGTTGTCTTCAAGCTTCCATCAATTGATGCGTACTTCTTGTTCGGTCATCGCCCTTCTTCTCCTGTCGACTGGGATATTCAGATCCAGCATCAGTGGCCGATGTTGTGGCAGGTAATCCTTTACCGATAACTTTACTATCTTTTACATGCTTAAGCTCGTTGTACTGTACGCTCCGGAAACCTATCTGCGATTTGTGGTCTCCGCTTGCATACGTGACGAGGTAGTTGGTCTTTTGATGAAGCACATATTCGCTAAGGCTAAGTCTTGGGCTGTAGCAAACTCTAGAATAGTTCTGTTTCGTAGTTACGTGTTCCGTAACCGTGATTTCCACGACACTTCTGTAAACCACTTCTTTGTTCTCCGACATGCCCACTGTCCATCCGCACCGATCAGTAACATCTCTTCTTCTGTCATTGAACTACGTAGTCATCAAGCAGTTGCCAGAAATCTTCCTTCTCCTCTTCTTCACATCCCACTTGCGGTGCTTGCTACTCGAAGCACTTTTTTCCCTTTATCCAGTCTTATACTCATGAGACGGGTCACTCATTCTATTTACGCTGGTAATCTTATTTTTTAGAGCTTTAGAGACGACTATGCCGACAAGGTTCCTGTTTTTCGTCGTTCCTTTGTACAAAAGCTTGTAGCCATCCCCAATGTCACGCGCCTTTTCACCCTTTCATTTGGTCTCCTGAATACATGCGATGTCTACTCTACGCGATGTCGAGCTGTGAGTGAACCGACGTTGATAGTAACTAGACGTAATGCCGAGAGCTTGGATGTTTTGCAATGATGAGCTAGCTTCTTTAGCCGTCCCCGCTCATCTTGCTGAGACGTAACCCTCGCCTACTGTCCACATCGTCGAGCTCGGATGTGTGTCACCTACGTTTACTCAAAATATCCTATGAGACATAAAAGAGCATTTGATGCGACGGAGTTTCTTCTTCAGCCGGCTTGTCGCTTGCTTCCTCTTGGTTGAGCAGCCTCATGCTGGATTCGTGGGGCAAGACCTTTGCCAAAGAAATAGGCCCGTCGCGAACCGAACCTTCGACTTTTGCCTAGGTTCCACTCAATCATATTATGTAGCGCTGAATTTTAAGTATATTTCTGAGAAAAGTCAAGCAGATTTCTTGGAAAAGGCATAGTAAACTCGTTAATTTACGTAAATCAGCTCACTTATGTCCACATTGTTCCTAAGTTTCATTCTTGCTATGTCATTTGCTGAGTCGGGTATGTTTTGTGAGAGCCAGTGCTTTTATGCGCGAACGAATCTGTCTGATTGAGCTTCCACAAACTGACAATGACAGTGTTTACTCTAGGTAATCTGCGAGTTTACTATGCCTTTTCCAAGAAATCTGCTTGACTTTTCTCAGAAATATACAAGAAATATGCTGGAATGAATCCGGTAAAGAAAATGCAAAGGAAACCTTTGTTAAAGATCCTATTATCTGCTACGCTCACAAACAATGATCGATCAATTTTTGTGAGCAGTTTAGTACACCACTATGTTAGTTTACGTAAATCAGCTCACTTATGTCCACATTGTTCCTAAGTTTCTTTCTTGCTATGTCATTTGGTAAGTCGGGTATGTTTTGTGAGAGCCAGTGCTTACTTGCAGACAGAGCAGTCGAACAACTCGGTTTCCTAAAAAGTAATTTTTCTGTCGTTTTACTTGTCTAATCAAAAGATGACATATCAGAGGAAGATTTGCTTGACTCAGAGAGACTATCTGAGATCGCTTTGCACCTGCCTTCGGCTAGTGCATAGGTGATATGATAGTACATGTGACAGGCAATGAGCATACTAATGAGCATATGTCGAAACTCTGAGTGTTTGCAGCTGAATATAAAACCCATTTTTGATGATTATAGCTAAATAAAACCCAGTCTCATTCTTATCCCACTTTGAATGTTATATTTTCATCAACACATCCTCCAGCACAGCATGCAACCTTGAATTCACTTTTGCGGCAGCGGAACTTTTCTTATTGCTTCCTGCAAAGAATAGTACACTTTTGAGGGAATATTACGTCTTTAACGTTAATGGGCCTGAAGAAATAAAAAGTAGGCTGCTTTCTGCATATGTTCTAACGGATTTAACTATTTTGAAGCACAATTCCAGTATCAATTAAGTAGATAACTTACATCACTGTCATGCAATGCAGTTCTATTAAATGAATGTGATGGGCGGAAATCTCTGAAAACTGTGTGCAAGCTTACCTTACCTGCTCAAGCTATCCGATGGTGGTGAGGGAAGGAGAAGGAAGTAAGGAAACACTGGAGAGATGAAGTACTCAAAGGCTGAATTACAAAAGGCTACGAGTTAGGAGTACACCGCGGGCGGAGAAGGCTCGCATGCATATTTTCTGCCTCACAAAAACTCTCCGGTGCTAAAGTGACGCCGCTAGCGTAGGGAGGTGGGGGTGGCGGCAGATACATGACTCGAGGCTATAAGTAACATTGCGCCAGGAGTGTTGGCGAAAGTTGACCCTTGTATTGCTTAGCGTCGCATCGCGACATCGCTTCGCGACAAATTGTGACTTCTGACCCATACCCAATATAAAAGCTACATGTTCAGGGAACTTGCCGCAGTCCACGGCAAAAGGCTGACCGAGAGCGGCGTGAGCCAAAGTATCGCGCATCCCCAAAAATCGTTCCCGTAGATACTATCAAAGTGGCTGCCTTTAGATCGTTTTGGCATGTTAAGTTCGAGAAAGTCTCTTGGATTTGCTGGAGGTAATGTGTTAAAACGAATGAAACGCAGTCACGTGATGGTAGTTATAGACAATTCTAGGATGTGACCATAGATAGTTGTGTGCGTCGAATACGTCTCCCATTCACATCATGTAAGAAATCGCAACAATCAAACGTGGCAGAGTCGAATATGTTGTACAGGAGTCCAATTGTTACTCTCCAGTCGGGCAGCGTGTTGAAAGTAGGAGGAGGTGCTAACGGGCTCAGCATGTCAATTTTTCAGAAACGAAGTTTCAGTAAACTTAAGCACAAAATTCACCTATGATGCGATCGTGAGTGGGTCAAACACGAATAACAAAAAGTAATGAGACAAAACATGAAACTAACATTAAAAAGACAAAAAAATAAAAATGTTCTATTCGAGTTCTCCGAATTGGGGTCATGCTGTCTGGCGCGCACATTGCGCGCTTAAAGCAGGTTTGTCGTCGCCATGCAAAATATTTGGAGGGCTGTGAGTAAGTGAGGAGGAGAGTTGGAAGATTGAAAAACTCATTCGTAAAGATTTTGATGTAGAACAAAGCTATGTAAAACATGTGAGAAAATTATATGAAGAAAGGGAAATTTACGACTTTCTTTTTCGCAGACACCCAGGTGCTGTCCAGGTGGCTGGAAATCCACCTAAACGCAAAAAGAGTTCGCCGCGCTTCCAGTTCACATAACTTGTTTACAATTTTTCATTCGGTTTTAACTCTTTATCGCCCATCTGTACACCAATTTTCGTATCATACCGTTTTTACTTCGCTGTAAACAAGTTTTATTTATCTCGGTACATTCTGAATTCCCAAGCTTTGCGACGAGCAGATTGTAGCGGTGCTGGTTTCGCAGAGATTTAAATCGGTATTGCAGTGCTGAGAATCTGGGACGTCTCCAGAAAATGAAGAGGCGGCATAAAAAAGGGGGGGGGGTTGATGAAAGTGTAAGAGCTCTGGGATAAGTTTTATCTTTTAAGACGAGAGGGGGGGGGGGGAGGGGAGGGAAGAGGAGGGCTGCAAGAACTGCTGAATTAGTGGGTGAATACTGGCCAACTCTCCGAAGTTTCTCATTCATATAGTTTTCTATAAAAACCCAGTAAAGTTGCTTTGAAGGTTTTTTTGAAATATTTTTTCCAATTCACACTCCCCCGATCGTGCAAAGAGGAATCGGCGTTTTTTTTCATATACAACACTAAGCTTATGCATACGTTTTTTCGGGGTTTCGCAGCGGACCTGCAAAAACAGTTCTCTTTGCTTTTCATCAAAACGATATCCAGCTTGCTCCGTGAGCCACTTGTGCCAAGCCCTTGGTGCTAAACGCGTGCCACTATCTAGGTACCTAGAATTATGGCCATACACAAGTGCAATCTGCAAGCCGAGAAGATGAGCAAAACTTGTGGCATTGGGAATCAGTGACAATTTTCTGCGTATTTTGCTCTCTAATCAACATACACGTATTTTCATCAAAGCAGCTTATAAGAGTGGGAGACAACATCTTGGCACTATGTAAGTTATCTTGCCGTCCTGTCCACTCGAAACATTCAAAGCAAGACGCACTAACGAAAGTAGTGTTCGATAAAGCAGCTTAGATTGAAAGAAAAGCTATCACTTGACACATGTTCTGTGTGGAAGTAAAAAACAAATCCTGTTGGAAGCACTGTTTATAATGACCGCGTTCGACAAATTACTGCGATTTCGCAAGGCTCTACTTCAGAAACTGCAATAAACTATTTCAATGTAATCTTTTAAACTCTGAACTTCCAGGATGGCCTCATAGAGAAGGATGAGTTTTTCTTTTTCGCTCGTCATCGGATATGGGAAATTGGAAAAAGGTTTGACAGTGTTTAACATAATGTTCATCTTTTTACTAATGCTTCAATGATAATTTTATTATGCACACATGCTGTGAATAATAATGCTGTAAAAAGGTTGTTTCAGATGCAAAAACTGTGAGATAGTGGACTACATGCCAGTGCTTGTTGATAAGAAAGGTCGCTACCTTGGTTACAACCCTGAAACAAACCTCATGTATCTCAATTGTAACAATCATTTCAATACATTTGGAAAACAACGCATTCAGATTGTTTTTGACGAGTTAGCACAGACGGATAAAGATTTGTATGTGTTGTCACATATTAGTAAGGGTTAGTCTCGGACGACGGCCTCTATGAAGCGCTTACCGACTTCGGGTTTGCAACTCATGCGCTCCAATGATAAAAGTGGGCGACCTTTGATTTCGCCTCTGCTTCTCAATAATAATGTCCGCCTTTATGGGACTTGCCGTTTTTTCATTTCATTTATTGTAAAGCTGCATAGATAGTAAAATCAATGTTTGTTTGTGTGTGTCTTTACTGCGGTACAATCACTGGCAAGTTTTGGCCGTTCTCAACCTAAAACCCTCCGTATCGAGTAACTCATATACCTTCGAGTAATGACCTTTCTTTGCAAACATATGTTTTTGGTTGGGTCTTGCATACTTATCGAATGTGTCCCGTTACGTACTTTGAATAGCGCGCCCAGCATTAGAGAATAAGCCACGAGATTTTAGACATAGATGCGTGACGACGTTTGCCTCCGATGCGTATTCACACCATTACGAATGCGCAGTTGGGATTGTTTCGAAATGGAGGAGATACTGGAAGCTTGCGGATTTTACCTCGTAAGGACGCTTGCAAACCTCGGTACCTTGCATATCTCGCGCGAATTGTCGCCACCGCTTCACATTATTGGTACTTCCTTTATCAAACGCTCAGTTTTTCTAAAGAAGATGTCTGAAAGCAATTGTTTTCGCTCTCACACTTGTCATCCATCTAGTAAATGGGAACCGCGTACGGCTGGCTATTCATCTGCTTTAGCATTACAAACAAGTATATCAAACAAGAAAGGGGCAAGGATTAAACCAGGTCATGGTAGATATTGCTATGAAAAATCAGAGCGGGTGATTGTGGTGAGCCAGAAGCACACAGAGAAAGAAAAAATCATTTATTCTGTGGTCAAGATCTCGAACACGCTTTGCACACAATGTTTATACAAGCCTGAGCTTGTTCTCGCTGATTCCAGATATAAGCCGTTTAACCCAAGCAAAGACAGGACGCCACTATAGACGCTGTCGGCGTCTTGCTGATCAAGCGCTCTTTAATCCCTCTTGCCATCCACTATTTCCCCATGCGCATATTTATCTAAGTCGGACGCAACGGCTTCCAGTATTTGTGTTCGATGAATAGCATGTAGTTGAAATGCCAGTAGACTGCAGTCCCAAACTTTTGACTACACGTCCAAGCTTGTTTAGGCAATATGTGCGTAGCGGTCTTGAAGCTCTCAGTTTAATGAATGGTAATGCAAGCAAAAGTACGGTGCAGGCGGCGTACCAAGTAGAGAGAATTGCGGCGGTAGGAATCCGGTTTGAGAAAATGTTTTCGTTCAGGCCGTAACTCTGATCAGGCGCTGTCGTTTCCCCGATAAGCTTCGAACGCTGATTCCAGATATGCTGCTTAGCTGAAAACCCCTACTTCAAAACGTGTTATGCTTCCTGAGGCTCAGTGAGGGCAGTAGAGCCCGAATTGAAGAGATCCGGCTTTGAATTTCTGCAGATCTTGGGATCAAATCGAATCAAATCATCTTGTAATAAGACAATTTAATCCAGCTTTTTGATAATTGAATGAACTTTCTGAATTACCAACATTTTCCAGTACTTAAGCAACGATGCGTTATTTCACATAACTCGATAATCAAGGAGTAGGTCTGCATTTGTTCCTGACTTGGCCGATTTCGCCAAACCTCCTTTTGCGCGGTCAGGCGCTCACGTTCGAACACCGCTGAGTAGGGCGCCCATAACTAACCGGGGTTACGGCTTGAACGGGACACGTGGAGGGAGGCGTGCAAGTGTTAGTCCGGCAACTGCCTGGTGCCGTCAGCCGCCAGAGCTGGAACCAACGAGTTATCGCAAGCGCGTCCATAACTCTGCCGTGAGATCTCCGCAGCAGCCTCGCACTTCATCACGCTGATGTCGAGAATCCTCAGAGGTCGCACGACTGCCACAATCGTATATCTATCAGAACAGCAAAAAATTTGTAATTTCTTTGAATTGCTATAGAAGAAATATACAGACAAAAAATAAAAAACGGAAACAATTAAGTGATCATTATACTGTGCTTAAATACACTAAGCCGTGATCCGAGATTGTTAACGTTTTATTAGCTGACGTTTCGGCAAGTCGCCTTTTTAGAGCCTGGAATGGACATGACGACTTGCAAACTATCTGAGCAAACCAAACATTTCTGCAGCTATACAAACAAAGCTTTAAGGCTTGGGTAGGCTGACAGTTAACTGCCTGACCAAACACTCACCTTTTGAAAGGTGCGATAGGGGAAGCCGGGCCGTCTCCAGGTAAAGAGGGTCCCAGCTACTCCCATTCTTATTGAAGGAGGTAAGCGAGCCCTGAAAGCAAAATCCTTTAACAATCTATATACCATTCGAAAGCTGAGGTCATGGCGAATTGAATAAAGCTGTCAGTTTTTTCTACGTATTCTGTTCCGCAAAATATGATTATCTGGCTAGCAATTCAACTGATTTGGTGTGTTCACTTTCTGCTCTCTTATCGCAATCAAGATGGAAGCTACGAGAAATCGACGGTCTATGTTTATTGATGAAGACTTCCTCTGTGGTAAAAATTATTCAGCGGTAGCGACGTTTTGTTGGACAGAAATTTGCTCTCAAAAATGGACATAATTTTAGTTAAATTGCGGCGTATCTCTCATTAGATTGGGCTAAAAAGAAGTCGAGTTTCATGTCGAATCCATGTTTTCTAAGCATTCGAATAGTATGTAGATTATTGGGCGAAAAAAACATAGCAGATTCCAGTGGGGTGGAGATATATACAGTTAGCTTGCTCCACCGCGCTCCTCCAATGTATTGACTTTCATGGATCACCGGAGCAACCATTTTTTCAAGCCAGGAAACTCAATGCCCTAAAAAGCTACACATCATTCGAAAGCTGAGACTATGGAGAATCGAAGTAGATCGACTTTTTTGTATCTCTTCCCAGCAGTTAGATATGATAAATTTACTTAACCGATATATCTACTAATTCGCTTAGCTGATAAAAAAGCATTTGATTCTCTTTCATTTCATGAAAAAAGTAATCTGACTAATATAATCATTTACTATTCAAGGTAATCACTTCATATCACATTGAGCTGTTTTTGCAGTCTTTAGCAAGACTTTTTTGGTTTCTACGAGCATCGAAAACCTTGATATGGACTTACCATAGCTATCGGCTATACAATTGTCCCAAAAAATGTGAAGACTATTTGATCGTAAATAGCTCTCTTGTCATGAAGTATTTCGGGAAGCTTGTAGCACTGTTCTGTGGAGGGAGGTCAACTTAGATTTACAATATGAAGCGATTCATCAACCGCTATTCTTTACTGTAGGATTACAGTGGAAACTTTTTTGGAAATCGAAAGCGATTTTTGGCTCAGAAAGAAAACCAAACAAGCCAAAATTTCTTGTACTGGACTAGTCCTACTCACTGAAAAAAGTCTGTTTATACAGTGGCATTATGCTGAGAGTTTGTACCGTAATCTTACAGTAATAAAGAGTGATTGATTAGTAGCTTTATACTGTGAGTCTAAATTGAACGCTCTACAGAATGGTACCTCAAACTTCTCGAAGAACTTCATGACAAAAAGATTACCAACTATCAAACAGTGTTCACATTTTTTGGGACATCCTGTACTTATTAAGTGGTTTTTTTTTGTTTATTAGGTTGTCCCATAAGTCTTTTCATTTTTGAGTTTTCGCTAAAATAAGTCACACACTTCTTATTCTAAATAGAAACAGGATACCATTCGACAGAACAAAGCAAGCTTTACAAGACGGCGTTTATGCTTTTGCACCAGTTTGGGTGTAACTCATGTCTCAAACCAAAATCTAAAAAGTTTCGTGTGCTCAAAAAATTGAAAAGTTTTGTATCCTCATTCAAAAAAGTCCTACAGATCTTTCCTCACGCAGATACATTCCACATCAGACATTTGTATGTGCTGTTGCTGCATTTTTTCATCAGCTAAAATCAAGAGACCGAAAACTTCCATGTTTTTATCAAAGTAACGCTGTGCTGTTCTTACACTGACAGTTGTATACTAAAAGCTCTTAAAAGTACTACTGCAGATTTTTGGCTTTCTATAAATTCTAGTTCGCGAGAATTATCGAATTTACTTTCCTCACTTGGGTTTTAACTCAGCATTTCATCTAAAAAAAATACAACAACAGCACATTGAATGCCTGATGTGGTATGCATATGCGTGAGCGAGTGGATCTGTAGGACTTTTTTAAACAAAGATACAAAAATTTTTTAGTTTTTTGGGCTTCCGAAACTTGATTTTGGTTTGAAACTTGAGCTGGACCTAAGCTGGTGCAAAAGCATAAGCGCCTTAAAGAGCTTGCTTTGCTCTGTCGAATGGTGTCTTGCGTCTATATAGAGTAAGAAGTGTGTGACTTATTATAGCAAAAACTCAAACATGAAAATACCTATGGGACAACCTAATATTACAAGGTGTCCTAAAAGTCTTTGAGCCTAACTTCCCGACTTAGTAATTTTGTTAGTATTCCTCGCTCTTCAGTTAAATATTGCGTATGAATACTTTGTCTAGTTTTTAGTATACCTCAAGAAAATCATACCGTTTGCGCTGTACATTCTCAAAATATTGTTTTTGGAACAAACAACACTTCAATTTTGAGGCAGATCCAATGTTAACGTACCCTTTACTCAAACGTCTATAGCTCTTTTGCTCTTGCGGAATTTCGAATTGCATATTGTAGAGCTAGCTTCACTTTACGTCTATAGTGCAAAACTAATCAGTGCTGTCTATTCATTAATGCAGGATTAGCATACAATCACTCAAAGTAGTGCCATGTCAATAAGAAGAAAAAGTTCTCGGAAACAAAAATCCGAGAAAACTGAAACTTCAATACTAAATCAATTTGAATCACTGAATTTAGCTGTAAGCTGTGCCGTTCTTACCGAACTATCATTTTAAAGTCATTCCATACACACAAAAATTGCTATTTTCCTAGTTTTTAGAAACTTGATTGCTACATTTTGAAACTTTTGTTAAATCTCACAAAAGTGCTTCTCAGATGAACGTGCTT